AGACTAAATACTGCTTTCTGAAGACTAGATACTGCCGACAGGTCTAAATACAGCGTCTGGAACACTAAATACTGCTTTCTAAAGACTAAAATTGCTTTGTGGAGACTAAATACTGCTTTCTGAAGACTAGATACTACTAACAGGTTTAAATACTGCAAAAGAAACATAAAATATTTTGGAGAAAACATTAAAAAGGCGCCGGCGCCCTCTTTTAGGCGGTGCTCGGGTGCAGTGCACTCCTTGCACCCCCGGTAGCGCCGCCTCTGGCTAAATTACGCGTAATCTAAGAATTAATCTAGAATTAAGACCATATCAACCCGAAATTGGTCTCTTTGGCTCTAGGGTTAATATCATCTCTTGTTATCGGTTGCATCCCACTTCGGGTTAAACTTTAGGCGAAGATTAATGACATTGCCTTACTAAGCCAAGGCTGTAGAATTAATATCATATGAATCCGGAATTTGTCAACACATTACACATCACCTTGGGTTGGGTTGGATTAGTAAATGTGACCAGTTTCTGTATTGAAAGCAGTTTTATATCGATCTTCAGGATAAATTTAGAATATTTAGAATTTTTTCCCAAATACTTTTTGATGAAAAATGCTAGTTAGCATATTGAATTGAAATCTTTAATTAAAAATTATTATAGTTTGATTTAAACAATTCTTAGAGCGTGCTTAATTTCCTTGAATGATTTTCGTATTTTAATTAAGGGAAGTAACGGACACAGCCTGAGGATTCAATTAAGAATTGTTGGAAAGAAAATAAACAGCTCAACTCCGTTTCAGGTTAAAATAACTAAAATAATCCAATTCGTATTGTTCCACAAAAGATCATCCCTGTTTAATTACGATCATTATTTCGGGTTCAAGTGGTCATTATCAGGTGAGTTGTTATTGACATTTGTAACCAATATGCATTGTATATACATCGATTGTACACACGCACAAGTTAGATTGGATTATATCTGAACCGATTTGTATTCATAGTCCCCATATACACATTATCCTTTTAATCGATGATCTCGTGTCAATAATGTAAATGCACCGACTCAAAATTCACCAAATAGTTAATTTTATTGTGGGTATTAATTTAATAACTTTGTATTAAAAATTTAATTAATGAATACGACTATAAACGGTTACATACAGATTAGAAAGCTCTTTGATGTTTTGGAATAATCTAATTAATTGCCAAATACAAAGAGGTACGTCGAATGGATTAAATATTTCAAAACTGGTCTTTGGCACTCGATACGCATGTGGTAGTAATGTTGGGTTTCATTTGCGTCGCGATTGGCAGCCGCACAATCGAGCCGACTGTTAATAGATTTTGTAATTAGTCCAAAAGTACAAAGCAAATTGAATTTGAAACCAATTACAGTAAAATCTCGATATACCGGACTAATACGGAGAAGGAAGCCAAATGTTCGTTTTATGAATTATTTTAATGCACACACATTATGTAAGAATATAAGAGGACTGCTACATCCGGAGAACAGGTGCTCAACTCGAAGGACCGTTCGTGACGTCAGCGCTGAATAAAAATTAAAACTGAAGCTAACAGATAATAACGCATTATTTATAAACCGAGGTAGCTGTGCTGCCGAAGTAATAGTTCTTGGTTTTCAAAAATAACATATTACTTAGAATCCGAGGCAGCCGTGCTGCCGAGGCAATGGCTCTAGTACTTAAAATAAAGTAAAGTGTTCTTCAATACAAATACATTACTTAGAAGCCGAGGTAGCTATGCTGCCGAGGCAGTAGTTCAAGGTTTTCAACAATAACATATTA